TTTTTTTTTTTTCAAATAAATCCTGGAGCAGTTTTTGAATCTGCTTACTTTTTCTTTGCAAGGTGGGCATCTAACTGAGCATGTACAGTGTGAGTGTCATCACTCTAGCTTGTTTCTGTTTGGAGAAAAATGATGTGTTGCAACTGTCCCTTGTTGCTACTGTCCCCAGTTTCCCCTGCTGCCTGAGGGCCCGAAGATCACAGGTATCCATTATTGACTTTTAGATTTGTCCTTTGTACAGATTTCTCCAGACTCTTGAAATATTACCAGCTGTAGATGATGGGATATCTGAAGTCTTTACACTCTTCTGTTGAGGAACATTGTTTTGAAATTGCTCCACTATTTTTAGGTGCAAATAACCTCTGTCCATTTTTATTTCTGAGAGATTAAGCCTGTCAAGCAAAATGCTCCTTTATCTGTTTTTATTTGTTCTATCTTTGTATAGCTTTTGATTGCCCTGTCTCAGTTTTTTTAGTTGTGTTGCTGCCATCAATTAAAAAATTACCTTATTAAAAATAAAATGAAGTTGAATAATATCGTAGCTTAAAAATTTATGTTTACTATGTTCCATTGTGAATAAAATATGGATTTAAGAAATTTGCCAAATGCATTCATTTTTTTCTACATTTTATACAATGCTCCTACTTTTGAATATTGTAAAACATCCATGAAAAATTCATGTAGCTAGTAAGTGTTATTACTAAGTTTTTAGTTCCATAGAACAAAATTGAGATAATAATTTGGAATGGGACTGGCAAAATGAGACAAACAGAACTGTCCAAAATGTAATATTTGCCATCTATAGCGGCTTTAGCAGCAAACACTTAAATTATTCAAAAGCTTGAAATACGCTAGAATTTTAAGTCACTTGTCACTGTGTTTTTAACACAGAATCATAAGGCTCTTTATTTTATAATAAATTATTGGGATGAGTCACAACATATAGAGGCTGCAGAAGCACTTGTAAACACAGTCCCCTCTCTGGGTGATTTCCAAGGCATTCCATGAGACGCTG